GCAGCAGCAGCGGCGGCTCCACCACCACCACACTGTGCGTTTTTTTTTCTTTTTCAGTCCGCAGCTCTCCTCCTCACCACTCTCGCCCTCTCCTCTCTTTCTGTTCCATCTCTCTCTCTTTCTCTCTCTCGCTCTCTCTCTTTCGCTCTCTAAATGCCACCGGCGCCTCCATCTCTATGTCACTCTTTCTTCACATCTGCAGAAAAAACGCCGCCGTCCAGCGTCCACTTACAGGTCAGTAAATATTTAGATCCGCTCTGAAGCATCCTTTCCCTCCACCTCCCCCTCCTTCGCCGCTTTGTGTTTGTGATTTGGAAACTTTTACGCACGGTGGAAGAAGGTGGGGTGTTTGCATGTCAGTTAAAAATGAAACCGAGTGAAAAGCAGCGTTCGTGCTTGTTTGCTTATTTCATTTTTTTTCTTCTTCTTCCCTGAATTGAAGACTGCCGGTTCATTTTCTCCGCACATCGGCTGTGTGCACTTGCTGGTGTTGACAATACCGACCGCCATTGTTGCATTTAACGTCGCTTGTTAGCTCTCCGTGCTGCTGCTGCTGCTGCTGCTGACCTAAACACGTTCTCTTAAACACGCGCGTAATAATTCGCTTTGGATTGATGCGTAAAAATAAAAGACTAAAAAAACGACAGCTTCCTTAAAAATAATTTAACCACCTCTCTCCTCCTTTCTCGCACAAAAAATAGCGCAGATGAGGGTTTTTAACGACCTATTACCTACCGCTCAGGTTGCTCGGTTTATAGGCAGAATCCCATACAAGCCGTGAAATTGATCTGATTACCTTGCCGGCGGGTCATAATAAAAAAAAAAGAAGGGAGTTGCTGAGGCTGCGCTTCCTCCCCCTCCGTTATTAGTTTCCTCCATCTCGTCTTTTTTGGTCGATATGTCTTGATATGGCGGAGAGAGAATGAACAGGACGCCAAATTAAGGGCATCACACGCAGCACTGTCACGGGCCAACAGCTCCAACGGTTATTCTGCATGAGCGCGACACACACCTTTGCACACCTCTGTATTGATCCCAGAGGCTATTTTTTTTATTTCTTACTTATTTATTCCTCCAAAACAACCACTCTGGCCACTTGGGTTGGATTTAAAATGTATTAAAATATTATTCAATCCTGTGAAAATCCACAAACATTTGCTTTGAAGTGATTTTTTTCTATTGGATCAAGATTAAACTGCAAATACCCAGAATTAAAAAAAAAAAAAAAAACTCCCACAAGTATAATTATTATGGTGTTGGATGACTTTGTTTGGAGATACATATGGCTAAGAGGTGCAAAGGCCCCTGTGCGTCAAATGAAAGATTACATCAGTGCGTCTGGCGAGAAGCGATATAGACACAGATAAGCATCACAAGTCAGTCAATTGGCACACACACGGTTTTTTTTTCTTTTCTTTTCTTTTTTTCCTCTTCATTGGGAAAAATGACACGAAAAAGTTGCTGCTCTTTTTTTATTTTTTTAAAAGACTGATTTATCCCACAGCTTGTGTTTTCGTTTTAATCATTCTAGGAAATCCACTTGTGTGTGTGTGTTGTTTTTTACGCGCTCGACAAGCAGAATTTTACGCCCTCGTTTTGTTCTAAGAAGCCGAGTTGGTTCACATGCTGACAGAATAGCAGCTCTCTCTCTGCGTCTCTTTCTCTGTGTGTGTGTTTCTCTCCTTTTTTTGTTTCTTGAAAAGACTAGAAAGGTGAGAAATGACTCACAGGAGCTAACAAATAGGTTATAGCAGCGAGTTTCAAAATGTAGCTTCTAAATGAGCGTTTAACGGGTGAAATATCTCACAATTACACCGTGACTGGCTGGCCTGTAGCGTTTTTAATCAGCGCCTGGGCATCTGCACTGCCAGCACCACAGAGGCTTCTTTAAATTCTGTGTGAATTACATTTCACATGTTTTGAAGTTTTAGATTTTAAATCTGCTTGGAGAGGAGAATGGCACTTTTACGCATTTTACGCACAGAATGTGGCACATTATGAACCCAGATGTCAAAGCTTACACACTTTGTGCTATTTATATTTATAGTCACCACTAAAAAAATTTTTAAAAAGAAGCAAGATGTCATAAAATACTCCTGCTATAATGAATATTATTGTAGTAACAGTCGTAGGAGGGTACAAGTGGTGCCATGTTACTCTTATAATCCATTTGGTGTTGTTACTGCTGTGTGATTTTTATCTCTCTGACCTCTGATTCATCAGCTGACGGGAGGTTTTATTTACGAGCAAAAACAATGATTGTAATTCCTGATGAGGCCCGTACACACACACACACACACACACACACACACACACACACACACACACACACACACACACACACACACACACACACGATGCTGAAAGTAAACACACACACTCACACACACACACATACACACGAGACGTTATCTAAAACATTTGATCCCCCACGCTGGCAATGGAATAATCCGTTCTTGTCTTAAATTCTCAGCCGCAATGTAGGAAAAGAAACGGTGCCATGTCTTGATTTTAATCACCGCTGGCTGACACAATCACTCAGAAATGTATCTGTGCCATCAAAATAATAACAATAGTAACAACAATAACTGGACCCTCGTTTTTGCTTTTATGAATCAACCTTTTACGCGCGGAGGCGCTGCTATTTGTAGGACATTGGCTTCAAAAATAGACTAATAGAGGCTCGTTTTTGGACTCTCACTCACACAGAGAGAGGAAAAAAAGGAGCTGAAGCCACTATTTCTCCCTTCGTGACGACAGTTCGGGATTATAAATGACAACTTTTTTTTTTTTTAAGGGAGACAGTCTTATTCCAGCATGCTGAATAAGCTCCGGCGTTATTGACACCGAGACTTGGGGGGAATCAAGTCATGGGATGTGCTTCCATGTCCTCATTCTCTAAGCTTCGATACATCCAGTCAAGAAACAAAAAAAAAAAAAAAAAAAAGGAGAGAGAGAGAGAAAACATAATCGGGATTTTAGGCTACATTCACCGTCATGTGTTGCCTCCGAGCACCTATAACGGGCTACTTTGTGGATAATGGCTCCGCGATACTTTTCAAGAGGATAATTACACGAGTCCGCTGACAGCTTGACAATGGCAGCTACAGCAGTTTGCATCCAAGTTCAGTCTCAGGTTTTGCCTGTGTGAGGAGGAAAAAAAAAGAAAAAGAAACGCTCCCTCTTTTCTGTCTCTCTCTACTCCAGGTAGGGGCTATCCTGGAGAGGGGAAAAATACCGCGCTTTGCCAAGTCTCTCCCTCTCAGCCTGGGTGCTCCCACGCGTTCGGCTGAGAGGAACCGTGATATCAAAGAGGAGGTGGTGGTAAAAATAATAAAAAATAAAAATCTGGAGCTAATGGAGACATCACCTGAGGCCTCGGAGGTTCATTCAGTAGCTTCTCGTTGCGTCTTTATTATATTATTATTATTTTTTTAACGTAGCTTTGTGATTTTTATTTTTTTTTCCGTGACCCCACCTGAATATTAGACTAACGGGGATAAGTGCTGGTGCAAGGGCGTGCGCGCCCCCGCTCGCCCGTGCCCGCCGTCGCGCTCCGCGAGGGTTCATTTCCTGGCTGTTTACACCGCGGTGACGTCACATCCAGTGGCGTCGCCGAGGCTGCCCCCACCACGCGCGCACGCACACACACACTCACACGCGCGCCCTGCTCTACTATTACGCACTGCCAATCTGAAAGTATACGGAAACTGGGATTTGGACATTAAATACTTCCCTGAGGGGCAGCTTCCTTCTTCTTCTATTTTTTTTATGTCTGTGTGACACTGAACACTTCAGCTGAATTTGTTTTTGATTTCAACTCCAAAAAATACTTAATTAAAAAAAAAAAAAAAAAAAAGATATTATTATTATTACTATTATAGTCGCTTGTTTCCAAACTTAGAATAAAAAAAAATAGAAGATGTGAAGCTCGGAGAGGTTAAATCACTCCCTGTGTGCGTTCTCGTGTTACATTTAATGCACTGTTTTTGAATAAATCATGACATGAGCTATTGTTGCTCGTCTGTTTAACTTGCTGCTGCTGCAGAGGAGCAGCAGCACAGAGCGACTGAGCCAATAATAATAACCTACATTAGGATTTTTTTTCTCTTTTTTTATTTTTATTTTTTTTTATTTTTTTGGAGCCTATAAGCTCAGTCAACCCAGGCGTCCTTGTCCGTGCCTGCTTCACGGTGAGGAAAATCGGCTCAATTTGGATCTGCCATTAGAATAAATGTGCCTGTCACCGCGAGAGGACGCACTGTCACAATTTTAAGAGCATAAACGTCCCGCAACCTGCTATTGGCCCAGAGCAACAGGCTCTGCTGCAGCTTTTTTCCCTCCTCTTCTTCTTCTTCTTCTTCTTACGGCAGAAACTGCAGCACGAAAAGTCAGTTGAGATTTTTAAGCCAAAATTCTTTCTGTATATTTTAGCATTTCTTATTTAACTTTATCAGCTCGGATGCTTTCATGGGTCATATTATTTCAGAGTTGGTGTTTAAACTTGTTTTTCTGTTACTATCCTATTTATATTTATACAAATGTGAATGTTTTATAGATTATTCAAAGTCAAAACTGCATCAACTTTGCTTCTCTCCATGCTTTTTACGCACGAGTGTCCATGCGTAAAAAGCTGTAAAGTTTCATCAGGCCTACCAAACTGAAATATTTATATTTTAATAATATATTTTTGAGGGGCAAGGTCATTGCAAAAAAAAAAAATCTTGCAGCACTCCTGCATCTCTCCTGGCCCCCACGTTATATTCAATTAGGGCAGGCCCCTCCCCTTAACTGATGACACTGACAGACCCTCCTTAAGTTGCGTCGCGCCACAGCTGTCTGCAAGCATTGAGCTGCCTGGCGCCATCCTGGAAGAATGCCTTCACTGTAAAAAAAAAAAAAAAAAAAAAAAAAAGAGAGAGAGAGAGAGAGAGAGCAACGAGAGAGAGAGAGAGAGAGAGACAGGGGCAGAGCGAGCAAGAGCCACACAGAGCGAGAGGGAAAGAGAGAGAGAGAGGAGCGGAGTTAATGGAGAGGGCTACAACTGCGCACAAACACAGATTTGATCAGTGAGTTTAACTTGCTGGTGCTGGTCAGTGCGCAGTGAAGCCACCCGCTGCAAACAAGCCCCTGCGCCCGCACCGACCTGCACTACTTGTTGAGTCGGGCTGCAACGTTTTGTTTTCTGAGAGAGAGGAAGAAGTTCAGGAACTCTGCGTGGGACTGGATTCCATTTTGGACGTATTTATATAGACAACACCTTTGTTGCATTTTGTAATGTGGGGTATGTTTCGTGTTTAAATACATTCTCCTCTCGGGTTGAAATTCACTTAAAGCCT